CTAATATCTTTCCCAATTTGAAATGATCTAATCATCAAATAACAATAATCAACAACTTATAAAATTCCATAAATAGTTATTCAAGCTACTGCAAAATTAGTTGTCAATACTACTTTTCTATGAATAGATTTTCAAAATGATTCTACTTTAACTTTTTTTCAAGATTTAGAGCTTAATATTGGTTTGATACTTTCATATGTTATGATTTTTATGACAAAAACATTTCATCTAATTAAATTTCATATTTTTTGCATTTTTGTAAACTAACTACAATAATATCTAATTAAGCTATATTTTATTACGTTAAAATAAAAGGAGAAGTAAGACTAAAAAGGAAGGATTGATAAAAAAAGTATTTTAATATTTATATTAATATTAATAAAATGATTTATTATAATAATTAACATATAGTATCACATGATAAAATTAAAAAAGATGATATTATCTATTGGAAAATAATGATAATAATAATTTACTTATAATCTTTAACAAATTTAATTGATATATATATATCAATTAAATTTGATTTTGATAAATAATAATTAAGATTAATTAAAATTGAAATACAGAATAAATTTATTTAAACTTTATATTTTATTGAATAAAATCATTTATTCTACTTAATTTCATTTTCATCATCTGAAATAAAGTTACCTTTGCCACTTATTCGTTTCAATCTTTTCCAAACTCCTTTCTTAATACCTTCTTCATATTTTCCTTTATATCTGATTTACTTCATACTTAAAATAAATAACTAATATACTCTTCAAATTAATCATATAATTTCGCCCATTAACCAGTCTTCTTTCCATTTCCATCATAATCTCCATTACCACTATTTTAGTAATTAGACATCATTTACATTGTTATTTCAATCTTTGACAATATCGATTATCTAAAGTTAATTTATCATGTACCTTATTTCTTACTCTTTTAATACTTTCCCTTATATCTTACTTAAGAATGACTAAACTTATAAAATAATTTAATACATTTTGAAGTTTTCATACAAATCAATCCATAAGTCATTTTTCAACTAATTTTCATCATATACTCCTTCTCCTCTAAGTTAAATAAATAATTCTTATTACAATTGTCTTTTATTTTTATCCAAATTTAAAAAAATTTCCCATTTACCATTTTTTTTCCATTTTCATACATACCCTTATAACAAATCTATGTCAAACTATTTATAATTAAAATATCAAATACAAAGAGAAATTAGGATTTAATTCTATCCATTATTCATTTTTCCTTCCTTCTGAATCATATAATCCTCCACCACTAATTCTTTATTGTAAATTTTTACATTGCTACAAACTCTGATGACTTATCTCTATTCTTAATATCCCATTTTTGATCTTTCTTCCAATTTTTATATACACCCTAATAAATAACTTATCCATAACTAGAAGATATTTATATCATTTACTTTGATGCAAATCTATCTATTCATCAATTTTGATTTAATTTTCATTATGATTACATCCGCCTCTAAAAATTAAAAAGGAAATCTTACATAATTTCTTATTGACTTTCTTTTTCACTTTTAAATAGAATTTTCCATCAATTACACTTTTTTGCATTATTATATTAACCTATAAGAAAGGTTACATTATCTCTATTCATAATTACTAATTGAATAATTAGAATAATAGTTATGAAATTCTTTCCATATTCCATTCTTATTTCCTTCGAGAGAGTATCATCCACCACCACTTTAATATTAATATCAATATTGTACTTTTTTTTTCCTTCAAATTTAAAATCCCATTATTCAATTCTGTTTCCATTTTCTTATTTTCCTGACTCAATTATTTGATTATTTCTACATTTTGAATATATTTATACTCATTAAAATTATTATGCAATTCTATCCAAT